TTACTAGTTTCGATGTTGATCACATCAGCGATACACCGATTTCACCGATCGTCGTACCTGCATATAGGCGACTGCCGCCGCCTGTGCCACCACATTGCTTCATTTACGGCAACCCGGCGCAGCGCAGAAAGTCCAGCCACTAACCAATTGCGACAAGGAGGGGCCGTTTGCTTAGTTCGCTTATTTGGGCAACACAGCCTTGATTGGGGTGTTGAATGAAAGCAATACAGCCAGCATAACTTATGCCAAACCAAACGAGTGGCAGTGTATCTATTGCAGCTGCGTGTTAACCAAAATCGGTTGTCTTTCCACTGTTGTTCTGCTGCTGTGACCATAATCGGTTTGCTATGCGGAATTTTGCGAAAAGAAGCNCAAACCAAACGAGTGGCAGTGTATCTATAGCAGCTGCGTGTTAACCAAAATCGGTTGTCTTTCCACTGTTGTTCTGCTGCTGTGACCATAATCGGTTTGCTATGCGGAATTTTGCGAAAAGAAGCCTTGCACCCGGTCTTCCATAGTAAGTGTGCTGTAAATGGTAATGAATTCATTTAATACTTAGAAAGAAAACTTAGTCAGTAGGTAAATTTGGTGGAAATTGCTTTCAGTTGGCTTGGAATGCTTGGTGCGTATTAGGGTACCCAAATGCAGTATTGATCGCTTTCGTGCGGCTGACGCACAGCGTCCGGATCATCGGAGGAGTCCCTGCGCAATGAACAGAATCCGTTAGGTTTTGCTTACAATTCAGCTAAAATGCAGTTACACTTACTTTTCTTCCGTTATGTCGCTGCCATCACCGTACTCAACAGGATTCCTACATATGCAGCACATTTGACTGGATTCGTCAAAACAGCTCTGGCAGTAAACCGCCTTGCAGCCGGGAGTTGAGCATTCCACTTTGTCTCTGGAAAATCATTAGGCACTTAGAAAGATAATTGATTAGAAATTAGGAATAAAATAACGAATGAAAACTAGGCATTCTAGTAAATAGGGCAAAATACAATTCAGTTAACCAATTTCTGACACAAAGAACTTTGACTGTGCAAGAGTTTTAAATGTATCAGTCAGTCCAGCTTCATCGGTTTTGAAGCGCTGCAGGTATTGTCGGAAACAGACGTGAAATTAAAGTTACGTTGTTGTTGTTGTTGTAGCGGCACTACTAAGCCTCGCCTCTTTCGTGTCGACCTTCAATCGTTGTCGTCAAGCTCAACTAACGGTAGGCGTAGGCTCAGGAAACGAACAGTTTCAATAGGGTCGGACCAAAGGGAGAGGGAGGTTCGTTGAGTGCGATTGAGCTGGCATGTGAAGAGGTGGTCGGTGTCATGCGGGGAGTCCCCACATGTCGGACACACTCATTGGGAATATTGGGGCCGAGACTGGACAGGTAGCTGTTAAGGTGACTACAGTATCAAGACCGCAACTGGGCCAGGGCAACGCAGGTCTCTCTTGGCAGTTGAAGTTCCGTCTCTGCTATAGGTGGTGATTGGGCTCCGATCACGGCATTCATAAGCCAGGTGTCGTGTTAGGCGGTGAAAGTTTATACAGACGGCAGCGTTGATCGGGATTAACTGGGACTTAATCCGGATCAACTGCAGTTAATTCCAGAGTTGATCCGGATCAACGCTGCCGTCTGTTTAAGATCCGACTGACTCCCTATGAATGTCGGTGAGGCTCGTCGGTACGCCGTTGGGTCCAGTGGTTGGTCGATGTATGTCTGGCCCGCGTCCTTGTATATGAATAGGTGCCCCATGACGTGCCTGGGGGAAGACTCCTCCTCTAGCAAGGGAAGTTAAGGTTTTCACTTTGTGGCACCCCATCAGAAACTGCAAGTCTGTAGCTTCGTCCACTGCGTCCCACTTGTCCCCGGCGATCAAACAGGCGCAGCAACCGGTCGGCAAATTTCCTTGCAAGTTGCCAGCAACGTTTCTTTGTTTATGCCCAAGGTGCCGCCGGCGTGGAGAATGAGAACAGGCTATCAAAGGTGACCCCTAAAATTTCAGGGTTGTTTACTTGATGTGCCATCGACATGAATGCTTAATTCAGTATTAGTGTTATAGAAGCTAGTAATTGTGTCTTGGTGAAAGTCGCTGGTTGCCTGTGTGTACAGCGATGCGTCCAATGGTGTGTGTCTTTTGACGTGCTCAAGAGGTGGCTCTGTTTCAAGCAGTGCCTGTTCGGTGGCCACCGAGTATTGAGCCCATTATCCAGACGGTGCTCGGACGTTATCCCTTGCGGCCCATCGGTATTTAGGGCCATTGCTCGAGCCAACTAAAAACTATTTCTATAAAATCGTATGAACAATTAAATTAAGACTTTGTATAGAATTACCCTTTTAGCCGGAATCCGCAGAGAATGCAGGTGTCACCTTTACGATGACCGAATATGAGACGACAGAGAAAGCAGCTGAAAGAAAAATTTTGGTAATAATTTAAAAAGTCTGCAGTTTATGCTGGCATGAATTTACCGGTTCGTCTTTGCTCGAATCCAATCCAGAAACGGATAGGGATCCTCTCTGGGCTCGTTTTTAAACTTAGCGCGCGCTTTACGCCTCAGCAGCTTGAAAAATGTCACTGCGAATAAGTGAGGGTTTCCTAATTTATTTATTTATTTTTTTCAGTCAAAATCCTACGCTACAACTCACTGCGCTTCAAGAGGATTTCATTGTACAACCAAGCGGCTCGCTGTTTCGCCTCAACTGGATAGTACAGACGCATAACAATATGCCGCAGCCGCAACCCGTAAGGCTCACAAAAGAGAAAAATCCAAGCCAGCAAACAAATTCCGCCGATTTCCATGTAGCGCTTAAAATTAGGACGCTTCGGCATCGGAAGGCAGGGCGTGGCA